AATACGTTTTCTTCCCTATTACAATATACTTAAATTGCTACCAGCTTAATTGGTCCAAGATTGCTAACACTTGTCTGTGCGTTCATGAAACGTTGTTGATCCACACTTCTGGCAACCATGAATTTCTTTGATCACTGTTCAGGTCCTCTGCTGCTATTCTATATCCCTGGCTTGTTACTGTCCTATTTAGATATTTTCTAATCAACCTGTTCAGAGATGCTAGTATAGCTCCTCTGAAACAGGTTACATGACTTCTTGCAAATTTCTGCCAGGTCCTCCTGATCATGAACAATTATCTCACTCTTTCAGAAGCAAGGTGACATTCCGGTCATTTCTTTTACATATTTTGGGGACTCTCATTATCCACCAAGAATCAGTAGTGATGTCATGTTACAGGGCCTGCTCTCTAAATCAGTTTTTGCACCTACTTCATTATCTTATGATTCTCCATAACTGGTTAATGAACTTTGACTCACATGCTGCTTGAAAGTTTCATTAGCTGCTTGGAGAGCATTAAGAAAGTTCATTGTTCAAAGTGAGTCACGATTGCTGCTATTTTTCATTTCCACTGCATTTGCACAAGTCCTTTGTTTCCAAACTCCTCATTCATGTCACCTCAACGTCATCATTCACAAAGAAAATTAAACATTTTTCTCATTCTTTTCTTCAAATCATGTCAGGTATATCCGAGCACATTGGCAAATGAGTTTTTATAAATTCCTCTTTAAGCCACATTCCCTGAAGGGAATGAGGTGCTCAGTGCAATACAGATAACTCCAGAAGTTGCATTTTCTATGCATTTTTACCTATTGCATTAGTGATTCTTAACAAACTATCAGTTTGAAATCTATGGTAACAAGCCTGCCATTCTAGCAGTCCACAATCATTATAACTAGCCAGGCAAACAGCAGGGTAAAACCACTCTTTAATCTTCTGCAAATAGATTATGGTTTTTCCCAGAAACACTAAAGGAACTAAAGACACAGCCTTACATTCATCTTAGGATTGGAATCAAAAGGGAATGCAGAATGCTTGGACATCCCCAAGAGCCTCACAGGGGAGTAATCAGATAAAAATCAACAGCAGGTCAAAGGAAATATTAGGAGAGTTGGTCAAAGCTTCACCTAAGACATAGTTTTACTAAATAACATAACAGAGATGCAAGGCAAGAACTTCAGATCCTAAAACCTAGACATTCATAGGCACAGCTGCCAATTTTGAGGCAAGGAGTATGGATTGTACAGAGGCCTCAAATGAAGAAACAAAGTTCCAAGCACATCTGCCACTGAGAGAGTACAGCACAGAGACTCCAACTAATACCATTACATTCTGATTGGTCTGTCCCTTCTCTGAGTAAGTTAAAAGTGCAAAATCTTGAAACATACGTAAAACCCAACAGTTCTATCATTACTTAGCATTCTGTCATATGCTGAACCTGCTGCACATCCAAACTTTTGATCAGTAGTAAACATTGTGAACACACTGAATCACTGCAGTGCACTTTTTCAAGGTGAATTTATGGACTGTCTCTTTATTACAGAAACATATTCATTCGGCCTGTTACAATCAATCTTTATCTGACTCCAAGTAGCATACAACAATGCATATTATTCCCATGTGCCATTGCCACTTGGTCTATTCGAAGTTTTATTGAGATTTGATTATAACGTAATTCCAGATTCTGTAAAGCTAACTATACTAGAGTAAGACAATCTCACCATTCACAAGCTCAGATATAGGTGAGACTACCCACCAACTCTTCATCTCGTTTGCAGAATTTATTTTTTAGCCTTTGAGCAAAGATTGGGGACTGGATTTTCACTGAGGCTGACAGAAGTCAGTATTACAGAAGTGAAAACCCTTACCACCACCCTTCTACACCCTCCCAACATTCCCACAAGTGTTTTGGAACTGAGCCCATTCCATAAATGTACGTGGTCCATGGCACCACAGAGGGTTTGTAAACCATAAGGGAAAACCCATCACAAGTGGCAAAAAAAAACCTTGATCCTGACAGGTTTTGGAACACAACATAAATTCCATTCTTAGTATTTATTAGTTTATTGCTGTACTATACGTTAGATGTGATTTCACTGCAATGATTGATTATAGAGCTCAACTTTGTAATAATAAGTTGACACAGGGTTGAGTTACAGTCGAGTACTCTTCCTTATTATGCATTCTAAATTGAGGAAAATGTTGCTTTAAAACTCTATTGTCATTATCTGAAGCAAGTCAAATGTCCAAAGGTATTTACATTCAATTTCAAAAGACTAGTAGGCAGCTGTAGAAAAGAAAAAGCATCTGCTCATGGACTGCTTTGATTGACAGGATTGATAAATCCAGTTTATCAGAAAATTAAAGTACAACCATTTGTTTTGCAATATATTGTTTCAATTTGAAGGGCTTGTTTTCACTGCTAAGATCGTTATGAATGTCAGGCTAACTGGGAAAGCATGTTGACTCAGTGGTTAGCACTGCTGCCTCACAGTGCCAGGGTCCTGGGTTTGATTCCACCCTCCGGTGACAATCTGTATGCAGTTTGCACATTCTTCCCGTGTCTGCATTGGTTTCTGCCAGGTAATCCAATTCCTCCCACAGTCCAAAGATGTTCAGGTTAAGTGGATTGGCCATATAAAATTGCCCCATTGTGCCAGGACTATGCAGACTGGGTTAAATGTGGGGTTACGGGGATAGGGAGGGATACTCTTTGGAGGGTTAGTACTGACTTGATGGGCTGAATGGCCTCTTTCTGCACTGTAGGGATTCTATGATTTTAAGTATCAAAGGTTTCACCAGCACTTAATGCATGAGGGAGCAATGCAGAAAATTTAATTAATCGTTTTAAGAAATTATGAAAGGATAATGAATTATCTTGTTTTGATTTGGTTGCTGAATAGATATTTGCTTGTTTTTGCAACAGATTGACCATTTGAGGGGCATTGACCTTTTTTGGAATAGCTTCTTTGAGGGTTGTTATCAGCATGAAGAATGTTTGCGTGAGAGCTCTAAAAAATAAACTTCTAACCATCTAATAATGTCTATTTCAGACATGGCTTCTGATACTAGAGAAGTGGCTATGGAAGATACATGAAAGGTATAGAGTAGTCATTGGGAGCATGGAGGACCCATTTTGGCTGGAAGGGCCTAGGACAGGTGTGCAAGGCCTTGAAGGCATGGGAACATGTGGAAGGCTCTAAGGGTTTGAGGGTCTGGGATTTGTCACTGCAATTGGGTTGATATTCCAGTAAACAAAGGAGTGGATTCTAGCCTGCCTACCTACCTTTTTTGTCACTTTGAGTTTGTCTTGACATTCCTGTCTTTTCCATAAAAAGCTAGCCTTGTGTATGTGTCTGTCTGCCAGTGTATCTAAACATGAACAAATTCCTGTGTCCCATGCCTGAGTGTGCATGTATGGGTTTGTCTGGGTGAAGTTATAAGGGTGTATATGTATGTTTGTATGATTGCGTCTAACTTCGTATAAATATATTTTTCTCCGGCTTGTCATATGGCTGTGTGTGGCAGCAAAGTCTATATTTGCATCTATCTACCCTGTGTGCCTTTGCACAAATGTGTCCTTCTGCATCTGTGTGCATAAATGTTTGTGTGTGTGTGTGTGTGTACGTGTGTGCATGTGTGTGTATGTGTGTGCATGTGTGTGTGTGTGTGTGTACGTGCACACACGATGTGTGCATGTGTGTGTGTATGTGAGAGTGAGAGATTGTGAGAGTGTGTGTGTATCTGTGAGTGTGTGTGTATCTGTGTGTATCTGTGAGTGTGTGTGTGTGTGTACGTGTGAGAGTGAGTGTCTGTATGTGTGTGAGAGAGAGAATGTGAGTGTATGTGTGTGTGAGAGAGTGTGTGTGTGTATGCATGAGAGTGCGTGTGTGTGTGTGAGAGAGAGGGAGTGTGTGCGTATGTGTGGGAGCGAGAGTGCATGCATGTGTGTGTGTGTGAAAGAGAGAGAGAGATGGTTTCCAACTCTGGTTGTGTATAACCTTAGAAATTCCATCAGATGCCCAGCCCAATCAAATATCCTATTTCCCATATCCAATATTTTTATAACCAAGTAAACTAAACTGTTCAAAGAAAATTTAAGAGCAAAATTTATGTCCGAATAATTTTCTCGTGGATTGATCTGTAATTCCGGGTGATGATTCTTGGACAAGTCTGGAATTTGGACCATCTGAGAGGGCATGCATTTGTCTTTGTTCATGTGCTTACCATATCCATTTCCAAGAAAATGATAAGATCACTGCTCTATAAATTTTAAATGTGAAAACTTCTCATAAAATCATAAGAAATAGCAGAAGGAATAGACCGTTGAGCCTGCTCCACTATTCAATAACGTTGTGACTGATCTGATTATCTCAATTTTTCTGTATTTCCCCTAAAGTGCTGCACTGACTTGTAGATCAAAAATCTATCTCCTGCAACCCTGAATCCATTCAATGACCCAATCTCCACTGAGGCCTGTGAAATAGAATTTTCAATATCAACCACCATCTGTGAGAAGAAAATTCTCCTATTTCTGGAAAACTCCTTATTTTTGTGCTCCCTAGTTCTAGATCACCCCCAGGAGGTAGAATTTCCCAATTTCTCATCCCCCTTGTCATGAAAGAACAGCAGAATATCCAGGATTAATAATTGACCACAAATTGTCCACCAATGTGAGAATTTTCATGATGGAGCTATTGCATTTAAATATTCAAATGAAGAAGTGTTATACATTGGAGCAGACAATGGTAGATGAGATCTGTCTGTACCTGTACACAGCTCAGTGCACACAGATGGAGAGCATATTTGAGGTGTGCGTGGGTGGGCAGTAAATAGAAGACAAACAAGGCTATAATTCTTCTTCTGAAATAGTTCTATCAAAATAAAGGAATGTTTCCAAATGTTTGCAGTGGACACAGATTAGTATCTGTCTTAGATAGTCTATTGCTGCACAGTTATCTAGAAACAAAGACAAGCTTCATACCAAGGCCAAACCTTCTTACCTGTTATAATGGGGTAAGACTGAGGTCCAGGGACACTGGTCCCTATGTCAGCTGAATTTGTTAGACTCGATTTCATATCTTCCAGTCCCCCAGCCAGTGACGCCATGGTGGAATAATCTGCACTCTGGAAGTACAAAGACAACTTATCAGGTAAGTATTTGCTTCTTCAATACAATCCCAGTAACACTACTCGTAGTGTTTAATTGTTCAAAAGAGTCCGCCAATATTGGCTATAATAAACAAGGAACCTGTGCAACAGGAGTGTAAAATTGCAAAACATGAGAAAAAGAAATAGCTGTAGGTGTTAGCTGGTGTCAACAAACTCAGCATAGAACAGGGAAGGAACCTAAAGTTTCCCAGTTCTATAAGTCTTGATACCATACTGGGGGAGGAGTGAATACCCAGGCATGTATACAATTCTTAATAAACGCACTGGTGTCATGGTGCAGCACATTATCTCATAGCTATGAGTACCAAGGAAAATGAAAAATATGTATTTACATAACACCCTTCATGGCTTCTGGGCATCCCAAAGTGCTTCAAAGCCAACAAAGTATGTTTGAAGCCATCATTTTTGTAGTGCAAAAAATGAAATAACTCCTCAGAGGCTGGTATCCCATCACCAAGTCACCCTTTATTTACAGATGGAGAGTCCTTGACACTGATCCAGCTTCCTCAGAGCCAGCTCTCAGAATGAACAGGATGTCTGACATTCCTGTTTATATCTGTCAGCCAGGGCTCCCTGATTGGACAAGATTAACAGCCCCAGTCAGTGAACTCATATTCTATGAGGTCCACCTGACTGACCTCATTATAATCACTACAGGAAATGAGGCAGCCAAATTGCACGGAGCAAACCCACACATACAGCAAGGTGATAATGGCCAGCTCACATGTTTTCGCAATGTTAATTAGGAATAAATATTGTCAAAGATGTCAGGGATCATTCTCTTGCTTTGCTTCAAAATAATGCCCTGGGATCTTTTACATCCAACAGAGAGCGCAATCATGGTCTCAACTTTAGCGTCTCAGCCAAAAGACAATACAACATACAGTGCAGTACTGGACTGTTGGCCTTGATGCTCAAAAGCTGAAGTGGGTCTTGAACTTTCAATCTTCAGGCTCTCAAGTAAGTGCATTACCAGCTGAGCCACAATAACGAAATCAAGCTTTAAAACAAATATGACTGCTAATGACGTAGGTCATTGCTGATTCATCTGACCATGGACATATACGAAATGGAATTCCATCCAAGTGACCATGTATGTTTGTGATTAGTTGGTAGGCCTCAAAAAAATGATCGAAGCCCAAGGTAAACTGGCCTCATCACAAGATTGGAGCAAATTGCAGACCTGGGTCCATGACAAGAGACAGCCAGAGATCAAACTGTAGAAAAATAGTTACATGATCTCTGCATAAAAGTTAATGAGTAATTTAGTAATTTAACTGATTTGTTATGGTTTAAACCTTCTCTATAAAGCTGTTGATTGTTGATTGGGAAACTAATGAAAAGAAGTCAGCAATTTGTATTGTTGGTTTAAACTTTTCTTTTCTACTAATCTTATTTTGAATGACTTGACTGATTAAATGCCCGCCAATCAGCACTATCAACTTTATAAATGGCAACTATTTCAACCAGTGACAGTATCTTGTCCTTGGATACATGGCATCTGAGAGGCAAGATGCTACAGAGATACATTAGTTTAGAGTAAAGGGTTAATTATGACTTTGTTCTGAGAATCACAAGGAACTGGAGCTGGAATCTGTAAAATTTCAGCAGCACATCCTCTCTTATCATGCTTTGTAGATAGTTATGTTGAATGCAGCCTGTTCATGTTAACTCACAAAAATATTAACATCATGTTTCTATAACTAGATATGAACTTTTCAAAGTATTGAAAGACAAGGGCCACTTGCTGTTTTTCTCCCAGTCCAAGAGCTAAGCCCATGTGCTAGCAGCCATGCCTTGTTTATATAAAGGGAATACACCAGAGTAACATGCCATACTGCCAGAATAGGAAGTGAAATAACTGCACAGAGGCTGGTATCCCATCATCAAGTCACCCTTTATTTACGTACACAGTACTTGGGCTCTGACCAGCCAGCTCAGAGCCAGTCCCTAGAATGAGGAGACTCTCTAAATCTCTTGTTTATGTTGTCGGCCAGGGATCCCTGATTGGCCCAGATTAACACCCACAATCAAGGATCTCATAGTCAATGAGATCTATCTGGTCCTCATTAGAATCACGACAAGATGTGTGGGGATATCTTGCATCACTGAAATCACCTATAAAAGGGGAAAATGCTGACAAAGTCCAAAGAGAAAATGAGATTTCTTTCATCAGGTAATCACAGAATCTTAGAGAATGGAAAGAGGCCATTTGACCTATCATGGCTATTCCAGCTCTACAAAAGAGTAGTCCAATTCCCTTCAACCAAAAACCAATTGCTTTTTAAAGGTTCAAATCAGAATCAATCACCCTTTCAGGTAATTTGTTTAAGATCATAATTACTCATTTTATGGAGAATTTTCACTTCTTTCCACCCAGTTCTTTTAAATGAGACTTCAATTTTTATTTCAGATGGCAGGATGTTGGGATTGGGAGCTAGGATTCTTATTCTATGGGAAAGAAGCAGGAAATACTCCAACAAATAGATCAGCTGTGGTCAAGTGGATTCTTGTTGGAAGAAATGTAATGTTCCTGACTTGGGGCAATGAGGTACAGGACGTAAAGGATGTTTATATGCAGGAGAAAAATCAAAGTGAAGTTTAAGTCTCATTCCTCTGCCACATTACTCTTTTTCTTGGCATTATTTGGGAACAGGTCAGGAAAATCAACCCCTGGTCTCTAAATCCCTTAATTGTGAATGACTTGGTATGTAATGGATAGGAACAAACTATAAGGATCATTTCCATTTTCCCCCAAATTGTAATTCAGGCAGAGCCTATTGTCCACATTTTTTAGAACCCATGTAATGATCACAAAGGAACCAAAATCAGGCAAGTTTTACAATGTTTAGGAAATCCTATATTGCTCTTTTCCACCCAACATCAAAGTTAAAAATGACCTCATCCCAATCCCCAACAATCAAAATGTGCACTTAAAAGTAGTTCTCACGTTTGTACTTTGGGGATTAAACCTAGTAGCTTTTGACTTGCTTAGATGTGCTCACTGTTCTGTTACTGTTTTATGAGTGATGTCACTTTAAGTAACTCAACTTGCAGTTTAGCTTGTACATATTCTATGCTGCGGGTGGTACAATGTGGAGTAGCTTTAGCCTCTAATCACATAGATGGTTTCAAGGTACAGTCTGAACCATGTGAGACAATACAGTGTGGAGCTAGAGGAGCACAGCAGGCCAGGCAGCATCAGAGGATTAGGAAAGTTGACGTTGTGGGTCGGGACTCTTCTTTAGAATTTCTGAAGAAGGGTCCCGACCCAAAATGTCAACTTTCCTGCTCCCCTGATGCTGCCTGACCTGCTGTGTTCCTCCAGCTCCACACTGTATTGACTCTGACTCCCGCATCTGCAGTTCTTGCTATCTCTCAGTCTGAACCATATGTTTGGATTCTTAAAGGGGCATTACTTAAAGATTGATACTTTAATTTTGCCACTTGATTAAAATCATAGAATTTTACAGTACAAAAGGAGGCCATTCAGCCACCATGTATGTACTGGTGTGACAATACTATGGCTTTAAGAGGTCTATTTTATCCTGGCTCTTTTTTTCTGAAGAATGGTTGAGACAGAGGTTATGAGTAGTCTGCTCCAAAGCCAATAAAGTAAACAGTTTGTGAAGCTTTGTTTTTTTTAAATTGGAACAATAGAAAAAGCCCAAACGGGTGGGGTCAAGCTCCTACAAAACCAGGACTTTTAGTTTTAGCTTTCTGCAGTTGCTGGGGTCTTGAAACTGGATGTGGAAGCTCTTATTCCTCTCTGTTACAGCTAAAAGCTGAGGTTCTCTTCCTGCTGCTAGAATTGCATGTAAGACAATCTATTTTACTGAATTTCCATTTGCCAAGGGTGTGTTTATGGGCTGTTACTTTTTTGGAACAGTCAATTAGTGGTAGTTAATATATATTATTTTGTTAAGCATTTCAATAGAGTTACAGTTAAGTCAATTATTTTATTTTGTCTGTATTTTGATTTAGTGTATGAATAATGTATGTCTTATTTCAAGCCTGGTAGTTTGACCAATCAAATTGCATCCAGAACACAACACCTTACACTTAACTTTAAACTAAGAAAAAATTATGATCTAGACTATCTTCTTAATATAGTTTCAGGGGGTTTGGTCTGGACCATAACACTGGCTCCTGAAAGAGCTACACAGGTAGTCCCATTCTCCAGCCCTATTTCTGTAGCCCTCTAAATTCATCATTTTCAAATATATATCCCAATCTCTTTTGGAACCACCTATTGAATCCGCCTCCACCACTCTCCCAAGCAGTGCATTCCAAATTTTAACATATCTCTGAGTAAAGAAGTTTCTCTTCATCTCATTCCTAGAACTCTTGTTGACAATCTTGAAATTGTAACTCCTATTTACATTAAAGTCACCTCTGCACCAAGAAGAATAAGCCCAATATTGCTATTGTTTCCCTGTATCTAAAATCCCGTTCTAGTAAATCTCTTTTGCTCTTTCTCCAGGGCTTTAATATCCTTCCTTAAACAAGGTGCCCAGAACTCAACACAATACTCCAAATGTTGTTTGGCCAATGACTTGTGGAGGTGTAACATCACTTCCTTTTTTTTTTATACCTTATGTCTCTATTTATAAACTCAAGGATCCTTTAAGCCTTCTTAACAACTTTTCAACTTGCCTGGCCACTTTCAAGGAATTATGCACTGGAACTCTGAGGTCCCTCTACTCCTGTACTCCCCTCAGAGTTGTAACATGGAGCCTGTGTTGTCGCTGCACGTTAATTAGTTGAATTTTGATGCAAAAGTGAAGAAACATATATTCTTATTAATTGTTGTTGATAACTACTTTTAACTAGATTAACTGGCAAACAGAAAATCTGCACCAATAAATATTTTGGTAATGGTTTGACGTAGCAATCATGCCTGCTCTGTAATGAATCAAGTGAGTCTTGGTTAATGGAAATCTTTCATGAATGGC